AGGTGGTTAATCAGATGAGGAAAACACCTTGGAAGAAAATTATTGTAATATTTGATTGTTGCCTGGGCAACTGCATTAACTTTCTTATCAGACTGCATATTTCAATACAGAGCTCACCAACGCACCCTTCGCATGGCTGGGAGCGTCTGTTTTGAAGCCACTGTACTGGCTTTGCCCAAATCTCATTTATGGCCTACGTGTAGACTGCAGCGACAGACAGAAGGAAGCAGGCACGTGTTTTGGTTCTCAGCAAAGCGCCTGCTATTCTCATGGGTGTGAAGCCACAGCAGTTTTTTTTTTTCCTCCACACTTGAAAGAAATCTGTCCCCACATTAACTGAACGGGAAACTCAACAAGAAGGAAAACATGTTTTGACATGTTATGGTTGGGTAATATGCTATAATCCCACTATTTCCTGCGTTCGTAACTGTTAGTAAGAATCTCAGGACTGCCTAAAATTAAACTTGTTTTGTAAAACAAAAACATATTTAAATTTCTGTATATTTTAATGTCAGAAAATACTTCCATACAACCAAAATTTAGTTAGCACGCCGTTTACGTGTAGATCTGCCATTGATCTAGTCATGTTGCAATCCTGCTCGACATGAATGCATTGACCATTGTAGTGACTGAATTAGAAATTAACCATATTTTTAATATATGGAAACATAATAATTGTGTAGAAATTCTCTTATGTTTGTTTTCCAAAAATGTCCATATTTATTAAAATAAAACAGGAGGTAATAAATGCCTACCACACAAATTACTAACACAATTTCCTGTGTAGCAGTATCAATCTTGTCACCTACTTGAGAAAAAAAAAAAAAAAAAAAAAAGAACAGCTTTTGAGTTTTCCAACATTTTTAGTCTTAGCACTGGGACCTTAATTTTTTTTTTTAATCTAACCAATACAAGTTGCAAATCTGCAGTACATGACATGAACTGTGCTCATATGAACAAGTGATCTAATTAGACCCTCACCAAAGAATAACATCTCTAAAATGATACACTGCATAAATAGTTGCTTTCTCCCCAGTTTGTCTATGGAAGCCTTGTGCAAAAGCAGTTTCAAGGGAAAAAAAAAAAGGATTTTTTTCCTACTCCCAAGTAAGAGAGTAGGAAAAATACTTTCATTGATTTTGTTTTGTTTGTCATTGATACGTAATACAGCAGACACGAAAAAAAGTCGTTTCTTGTAGCACCAGTGAAAAACTCAGTAAACTGAGAGTAAGCTCTACCAGGAGGAGGATACCACGGCATGCAAAAGACATCACAAGCTTGGAAAGGCCTCTGGAAGAGCTCTGCATGTGGACAAGGCAWCTCAGCTGACAGAACACAGATGAATTTTCAACTGGTCCTCAAAAGGGTCTTACTGGAATGGTACCATAATGATTAAGTGCAGCATAAAACATGGGGCAGGCAGCAAGATGCATCACCCTAGGTAACAGATCTGAAYGTGTTATCATTACTTACGAAAGAATTTAGAATTTTACACTAGATATGTTAATGAATATATCAGGTCAATTTTCCTCTGCCATTATGCCTTACGTGTTGCATCTAAGCAATGATGCCTCCTTTACCTCAAAAGCACTACAATAGAATGGTACTGAAAGGCATAACATGAATATTAAAAAAATATGGACCAACTTTTGTACAAGGAACAATTAGGTCAGGACTCTTATGGAGGTGGAATGATGGCAGAGGGGCAATAAAAGGATGTGTAAAGTCATGACTGGCACTGAAGATAAGAAGTGACAGCTCACCTCCTCAACGCAAGATTTAGCAAAAATTATTTTCAATTCCTACCAGGCAGCCAATTCAAAAGAAAATAAGTGCTTTTTTTCATGCCACACTGAAGTAGTGCAACCCAGCACTACTGCAGAACGCGGCAGATGCCCAAGTCTGTGAGGGTTCAAAAGCAACCAGCTAGACTTGTAGAAAAAGGGCAGCTGGCTGGACGCTACCTTGGCTGACCCTAAACCACAAGGTTGCTGACAACTAGGAGGTGGAACCGAAGACWCTACCCTGTATGTTTGTCCTGTCCTTACCTTCTTTAAGTATCTGCAAAAGAGTCACTGCAGACAGTGACTTACTAGAGCTGTTCTTAGATCTTCTTAGAGCATAAATGTTCCAAGTCAACAGAAAAGTATTTGCTTACACAATTTTTTTATGATTCCACAGAACATTTCAAGGTGCTTGATATGGCTGGGATTTTTTTCCTCTCCTCTCTCCCGTATTAAAGGCTCCAAATGAGCAATAAGCAAAGTGGATTCACTAACAATAAGGCCACATATACAAAAGCACTGTCCATCATACGATGATTTTGTTTCACAGCTCAGCTGCACATTGATAGCAATYGCATTTATCAGCTACCTGGCAAGGTCGAATATGGAACAGAGTACATGATATTACCCAGATCAAGATGCAATAATAAATTACTGGATAATGTCCACAGCATCTTCCCTCTACATCAAAAACCAAAGAAGTGATTTCTCTCAAGATGAACAATGAGTCTTGCTCATGTATAATCACTGCAATGTGTACAATATGAATATTTAAAGAAAAATCCTGGGGAAACTGCAGTTGTTTTCAGGGTATTGGGAGGGAGGAGCAGGGACAGGGTTGGTTTAGTTTTTGCCTTATCATTGCTTTATTCAGCATCATTTTTATGGATAGAAAGGACATATCTCCAATTTTAAATTAAAACCTATTGTTGGACAAACACACTTTATAAAAATTTTGAACAGGGACAATTGGTACATAAATTGTATAAAAGGTCAAAGTGAAAGGTCAAAGTGAAAGGAACAGGYTGCCCAGAGAGGTTGTGGAGTCTCCTTCTTTGGAGATCTTTAAAACCCGCTTGGATGCAGCCCTGTGCCACGTGCTCTAGGTGACCCTGCGTGAGCAGCGGGGTTGGACTCGATGACCTCTGAGGTCCCTTCCAACCTTGGGCATTCTGTGATTCTATGAATAAGATTTGTAAATGATGAGCTGGAAACAATTAAGAAAGCTTATGGATTTACAAGCATTTATTTAGGAATTACGCTATTAGGAAATTCAGTAACAAACTGGGACAGAACACTACTGCCTTAAACTACAAGAAGTTTTATTAAAAATAAAGATTCATATTTTGAGCAATGGCTTGATTTGCTTAATTAACAACTCAATCTGACAACTTTGAGAACAACTTCTGAGACTTTCTTACGAGGAGAAAGCACATCACACCAATATGATTTAGAAAGCAGTTAGTTCTTCAAGGTGCATTCAGCAAAGCAGCTTTTCTTGCTCACTTGCTCATTATACATCATTTTTAAAGAATGATCTAAAAATAGGGAAACAGCAGTTYCCTGCCTTTGCTGGTACTGACCTTTCAGCACTGGTGATGCTAATACAGCTTGACCATGCCCAACAGTGACWGTAGAGTGCAACACACTCATCAGGACTTAGCTTTATAGGTGCTCAGAAGCCCAACTCCAGCTGAATACAGCACTTTTCCTTAGCCTCCCCAGAGTTTATTACTGTAACCTACAGCTTCTTATGTCCACAGAYGCTACATATGCTCAACAGTCATCCAACATCAGTACTCATTTTTGGCTCTGTTTGCTTTGTACCAAAGCTATAGAGACTGAGAATTATATTTTTGCTCATAACCTCAAAGTTCTCAAATACAGGCGCAAAACATTAGTGCTCTTATWGGTGGTATTTAAGCATGACCCAAAATATTCACAATATTCCAGAAATAGCTGAAAAAGGATTTCCAGATGTTTGTAAAGTTAGTGTAGTTTTAAGTGCTATCCAAAACTTAACATAAACAGGACTAGGTTTCAGGAATTTATTCCAGCTTCATTTATAATTACAAATAGAAACAATACAGAAATTCATRTTTCACACAGCCCAACATGCCCCGGGCTCCTGACAGAATTCCTGTACAAAACCAAGTAGCCAAACAAAAATCCTCTGCAGCACAACAGAATTAAATTTGGTAACACTGTACTGCAGTAGAAAGAATATTCTACTATATTCTATTTCAGGAGGCTCCTGAAATATGCTTTAATTTACCTGATATGAAAACTTGACACGAATTATATTTTATATTTCTGAATTTTCAAATCGTTGCCAATTTCTTCACTTTACAGCACAACGGTAGAAACTTAGAAAAGCTTTCAACAAACAATTTGAGATAGCGGGGGACATAAGAACAAGGAAGTTGGAAGACAATTCTGATTAATTTTGGAAAAGATCATTGAAATAGAAACTTCTGGTATGAATAGTGATAAAACAGCAATGTTAATGCTGTAATGTCACAATCTCTTTTCAAGGACAGCAAACAAACAAACTGAACAGATTAGGTGGGCTGAGACCAACTGTTTTATATTCTGGCACATGTAGATCTATTAATTTGAAATTCATTCAAATAAACATTTTATGCTAGGGGTGTTTTCTATCTCCTCCCCACCCACTCCTCTCTAGAAAAAAAAGAAAGAAAGAAAAAAAAGAATAAAGAAAAAAAAAAGTTCGGACTACTGAAAGGTAGAGTCCAGTTTTTAAGGGCTTAGCAGGAAGGGACTGCATGATCCTCTCTGAGGACACAGACTTCAAACATAAAGCTCTAAATAAGATGATCCACAAATGAAATCTCCAGTCTTTAATGCAAGTTAAAGACAACACTCATGTTCCAATGCCATTATCAAATAAGGCTGTCTTGGAATACGGCAAGACTTAAAGAAAACATATTCATGGATTTCTTTTCAATCACAGCAACCACTTACAGATCAATAATTACATGACAAATAAATATTTACAAGTTATTGTAAGAAGTATTCAAATCCCAAAGAGCAATAAGATTCCTATATTCTGCCAACATATTTACATTCTTGTACATTGTTTTAAATTACTTTAGATGAGAATGTTTTCAACGTGTTCTGCCTATCATCCCTTCAATAAATACAACGAAAGTATGCCTTCTACCTTTTAGTTTTAAGAGGAAAAAAATTACTTACCAGTTCCTATATAGGATTTAAAGCGTCCTGATAGTCTGTCGACAAAGGCACCTAAAACATCTAGTCCCAGTAATGCCACCTGTTAAAACAAAAGCGTTAGATATACAAATCACTGAAGAAATCTTAATTTAAATATAATTATGGACATACATGCAAACATGGTGAAACCTTGCATCAAAGATAACAAAAGTTCTAATGCAAAAGCCAATGATTCCTAAAAACTTTGATTAAAGCAAAGATTTGAGGAGCATGGAAACTATCACTAATTTTTCATATACTGGTGCTATTCACTTTTTTCAGTATTTTTAATGTATTTGCAACCACAAATGTTAAAAAAATACAGAAAGAGGATTAGGCAACTGAGAAAGGTTCTTAATTTTCGCCTGCATTGTTTATTATGACTGCAGTTCTGTTCCCATTTTCTTTAACAGAAGCCTGCCAGGAGTCCAGCYCGGTGGCAGCGGGAAGTCAAGGCTGCCGTGGAACAAGGAACAAATCCCAAAACAGCCAGACTAGCTCAGCCTGGTCTCCTACACCAGGCTCCTAAGCAGCTGTAAGAAAACAACACAAACTAAAAAAAACAACGGGCAGCTAAAAACACTAAGCAAACAAATGGAACTCAAATATAAATGCTAAATTAATTACTATGGGTCTGATCCTGTGGATCAGACTTCTCCTCCAGKGGCAAGTTTCAAGGCACCTTCCTGGCACCAGTACTGTGGTGTCTGCAAGGGTGGTTTGGGACTCCCTCCTCGCTGCAAAGGCAGTTGTCTCTGAWAGTCTTCTTGAAGACCTTGACTTTTCTGAACAGCAGCAACTCAGATTTAAGAGAACTATGTCTATATTATTATATAATATATATTCTGATGCCAAAGAAAAAAATATTAATAAGATGGAGAGTATTTTAAAATGAATTCCACAAAGCACAGCCTCTAGTTTTTGCTTTGCTTGCTTTTTAAGTCTGACCTGGGWAAAAAACAGTAACCATATGGAAAATGTGCACCTTCACATAAGAAGGGGTCAAAGGCCTGATAACGAGCAGGTAATAGGCTACTTATTCCTGTGTGATTGCTACTGCTAACATCAATTCAGATCCCCTGCATTTCATTTGCATAAGAATATTTTATTTTGATCAAGAGAACAATAAGGTTTTGTATCCCAGGGAACAGATAAAGTTCAGTCACTTCTTATGATGCAGAAACCACATTTACCTTGATTAATCATTCCAGCAGTTGTCACTGTGGCACTGGTTCTTTGTAACTAAAAGTCTACCAGTAATTTGCTTAAGGAACACGGTAAGCCCTATTTCAATAATTACTTTGCAAAAGTCACCTCAGTAAATGCTATCAATATAAATATCCTGATGAGTAATTTTGTCTTGTGACGTGTTTGGGATAYGGAAATATATTGTTTACATTGCACAAGATTAAATAAAGCTCTGAAAAGTTACCTTGCTAAGTCAGAACGAGACACGAGACTAGCCTTGGGCCTTTAGAAATGCAAAACTACCAAACTGTGCTGGAAACCCTCTGTAACACCTGAACATGTAGCCTTCACAGATAAGGGCAAGGAAACGTGTTAGTAATRGTTTAAAGGAGCAACCTGGCAGAGCACAAGTTATCCCTTTAGGTCATACAGAATCCTCTGTAATGGCCAAAGGCCTGCAACTTAGTATAAGCCTTTATGGTTCCTGTAAATCGAGACAACTCGATGGGTCCTCACCTTGGAAAGAATGGGAAAGTACTGTTGCTGCAAAGCTGGCTCCCATTCCACAATCCAAAAGGAAAATCAGGTAACTTTTACTGARGCATGCTACCTCAGAAAACACTCAATAAGCTACCATCACTAGTAAATCAGGCCCGACACAACTSTGTTACATAACGTTTTAAACTTCAGCATCTTCTGGTAGGCACCATCCATTCGGTATCTGAGCAGTGAGTCCTGCYTAAGGAGTCCTTACACATAACCAAAGTCCTGAGAGACTGCAGTGAGCAAGGACTACCATCTGACATGGGGTCATGAGAGCAGCAGTCAAGAGAACCACAGAGTTGGGGCAAAACTGATGCACAAAGCAAGAAGCTGCAAGCTCTGGGGCATTATGTGGAACCGAGTGTCAATAGGGCTCTCTGCAACGAGTAGAGAAGCCTCTCGGGGCCCTTCCCACTGACTTATATGGGGTTATATCTTTAGGGCTAAAGGTCACTGGACCTATGTCTATCCACATATACATTAAGCCTTTTGCCTGGTGCCTAGAAAGAGGCTGGTTAGTTTGTACAGAATACATGCATCAAGAGCTGACAGCATGAGCACTGCTTTTACTACTATAGTGGTAGGTTTGTAAATTGAGACCGATCCAAAAGCTCCCTACTGTTTGAGGTATTTAACTACTGCCTTTGAGGCCCATGGCAGGAAAGGAATTTAAGCTTCATTGGACAGGAGTTGGTCAGTTGTGGTGGTGACCACTGTTGGTCAGTTGTTAAGATTTGACCATGGGATCTGAACCATCTCTGACTTTTTTTTTACATTACAAGGGAGAAGGGGGCAAAAGAAAACTCCAGCAGGTTCCTTCACCCGAACTTGCTCCATAATTTTACACTATAAATATAAACAATATAAACAGGACCAGCCTTCCTGCCACCACAGTGACGACTCTGGTTATCAGTAACTTAATTCTGCTCCACTCCAAGTTTCTTCCTCCTTGCCTGCTTTATTCACGTCCCTCAATACATTCCTATTCTCTTATTTTGTGGGATATTCAACAGCACTTTCCTCTCCTTAATGTTGCCACTCCAGTTTACTCCAGATCAATCATTTCAGAGACGTAGCCTCTTGATGCATTCCATGCCCCCTCACARGCCGAAACATCAGTCCCAACCAAGCCATCTTCAGGCTCCACTCTTCCTTGTGGGGACTTTCCCACTCTGCATCAGTCAGGGAGCCACCTCTGCTGCAAGCAACCAAAATGCCCCCTGCTGAAGCTATTAAATCATCTACACTTTAGATACTCTAGCTGACAAGAAAGTGTTATTTCCATTCTCTGGCTTCTTCCACCTTCATGAGTACATACGGCACTCACTTTCCAGGAGGTGTATGGGCTGTTTCCATAGGTATCGTTATCCTTCTGCATCACAAGGGCAGAGAGGGCCTCCTGTAACCTGCCCTCAAGGGCTTCGTGCTCAACATCTGGTCCGAGCGGTTAGTGGAGGGAAGCAACAAGTGAATGAAGACGACACTTCACTGCCTATTCCTCCTTGCTACTCAAAGATACAGATTTAAAAGCACGTGGAGAAACAGAAAAGGTAACACTGCAGTTCTTGAGCAAAGGCAGAGCCTCCCCTATCTAACAAATCAAGTTCACTAACTTTAAAGCAATGGTTGCAACTGTGGCTTAGACTAAAAACCAAGTGCCCCAAAGGCCAGAGCCGAAAGAGTCAACTCTTTCTTACTGATAAAACTGCACGGACTGCAGCCAGGGCTGTCTGGAAAGGGGTACAGACTATTGAACTTCCTCAGCTATGATTATCTTCTTTTCTTCATCTTCCTGTGATGACTGACCACAAATCATTTCAGCACTGCAGTTTAAGAAACCACAGTGGCAGATGATGCCTGAATGAGTCACTCATACTTATCCAGAAATTTAGGAGTGAAATTTTGCTGCTGAAAAAGTCTCGTTTCAGAGGTCCTTCTGCCCAGGCACAGGTCTGGGAGGTCCTTGTTATTTTGGCCTCTCCTGAACAGCAGCCAAAACCAGTCAGCCAAAGGCTGTCAAAAATTTTAAGGCTTACGTAAACTCCACTTTCCTGCCCTTTCCCATGATGAGAACTGTTGCAGATTTTCCCCTCATTAATCAAGAAACCTTTACCCAATCAAAACCCTGAAAATCACATGTTAACACCCTTCAAAGTCTGCCACTTTCTCTTCTTTCAAAAAATCTCTCAGAATCTTCATGTTGGTTTAACTCAGACAACAGCAGCACCTCAGAACTGTTCCACACTCTGTGGGTGCCACAACCACCAGGGCTCCCAAATTACCTCTTCAGCAGCACGGTTCTAGTTCCACACTCAGCTACTGTGGGAATAACTACTTGGCTTCATATAAAGTCCGGCTAACAGCAGCTCAGATCCATATCCATTTTTTTTTTTTTTTTTTTTCAATAAGGACTATTTTATAAATTTACTTCAAGTAACCCAATGGAGAAGTTTTCCAAAAAACTTCAAAAGAAGCTGCATGCAGATGAGTAAGGGGCTGAAGGGGTGAGAAAATGGGCATCAGAAAGAAAAAGAAACAGGTTCAGCCACAAGATKAGGATATGCCAAATATTCCCTTTTTTTGATCACTGCCATAAATTTTCATATCCATTTTTCCAAGGGCAGTGAGAACAAAACACAAGCATAAGATACAGTAACACAGGACATCTTAAGCCATTTGCTTTTTGAGATTGCCTGGCTTAAACATTTTCCACAAGGCAAAAAATGTGAAGAACAAGCACAYTGAAAAGCAGGACTCAGTAGGAAGGCAATCAGATTTGTAAGAATATTACATTTTAAATATATATTTTTACCAAAATACTTCATATGAGAACTTTGCATTTCCAAATGAATACAATGCTTGACGTGTCAGGGCTCTCTCATTCTCTCCGCTACCCTCTCATCTAAACTGTGTTTTTTTCAAAATGCAGTAACTCCCATTTTCTGCTAGTTATTCCTGCACCAGCTCCGCATTARTGCATGAGGAGATGAGTGTTTATGCAGCTGAACTGTAACCCTGCTTAGGAAACCAGTGTGACAAGGAAGCAGCCAGGGCCATTTCTCCACCAGCTCCTCCCTGTGCCTGTTCACTGTGTTCATATCCCCAAAAGGGCAATGAAGGGCTGATGCACTATCAGCAGCAAGCAGCCAGGGGGAAAAAAATGCCTTAAAATCAGCAATGCTGCTAAACAAAAATGCATGTTCAACTATGGCCTGCGTACGAGGGCTATCCCAATTCCCATTCTGTGGGGAATGTWATTCCCTTCCCTGTAGAGGTCTTTGCGAAGGTGTCTCATGTCACACTGMTTTGATTAAATTGCAGGTTACCAGGAAAAGAGAGAGTCCTCTTGCCCTGCTTCACTTGCAGGTGCGTTTGATCTGGTACACACAAATCTGCTGCAGTACCAGACAAATCAGCTTGCAGGAAAACTGAAAAGCTAATCCACAAGAAAAAGAAGTACATATATGCATATGTGTACATATATATATGCTACCTCAAGAACAAAGGTGAAAATGCATGGCCAAGGCAAGAACAGAGCTGTGTTTTTAAACAGGGATTACAATTAGGCCAAATGACAAGTATTGAAACTACAGGCTAATTGAGAACTGTGAATTCCACTTCAGAAGGCAGATCCCTGAGAATTTGGGACTATATAGTCTACATTTGTAATTAAAGGTTGCACAAAACTAGTCTTAATTAAACTTAAAATAATTAACACTTCTTGCAAATTTCCTTCCCTCCCTTCAGGAGAGATGCTTGGTCTATTTGCTTAACATTTGATTGTTTATTTATATTCCATGAATAAAACATACGTATCACATGAAAAAAATAGTACCCATTCCTCAAGGAAAAAAGAACCGAGTCTTGAACTTGGAAACTATTTCAACAAATAGTTGAAATAGTCAAACAAATTTCAACTTTGACACCAACCGGAGGAGRCGTTTAAGTTACTAATATGTCCTAATAAAAACTAGGAAAATAGAGGTCCTTGGAACTCCATGGTAACCAAAAAATAAAGGTTGGGAGGAGCCTCCCAGTTTACTCCATTTTACCGTGTGGSAGGTTGCAGCCCTCCTCGTGCAACCCGGCGTGGCGTTTGCCTTTCCTGCGGCATCCAGCATGACTGGCACTCAGCCTCCAAACCAAAACAACCCACACAYTTGGTTCTTATAAGTTGCTGCTTAAACATGTCCCACATCTGACATTTGTCTATTGAATCATTMTCACCAAAATGTAGGACTGGATTCTTGCCATTTCTGAGCTTCCCATTTTCCAGATCTCTGCATCTACATTTCATCCAATCTTTCATTTTTGTATTCCAAATTCCAGCTCACATATTTGCACAGTATCAAAAAAGTTACTAACTGCTGCTGATAACGCTCTTCCAGGACTCAGATAGAGTCCTAAATATTTATGTCTCGCGTATTTACAAAACTGGAGTTGACCTTCCTAWCTGGAAACTGAAAGCTCCTCCTGCTGGACTTTTTGTTGAACTAAGGACAAACCAAAATAAATACCTGCCAAACCACACAAATTTAAGAACTCAGGAATAGTAATATTGATATTTCAGTATCTCTTAGATGCTAAAACTACCTCTAGAAAAAGCATGGAATTAAAGTTATTCTGAAGATTTACCCAAAATAAACCAAGAGTGTCCATAAGCAGAAATAAGTAGTGTAAAACAGAGAGTTCTTTCTGCATAGTAATAAATCTGCTGCTCCAACATGAAAAAAGACCATTTCTTACTTTCCTACTGCAGCTCACAGAAAAGAATATCTATTACAAAGATAAGAAATGCAGACATTTTTAAGTCACAAGTATTGCTAATATATTTCTTGCATTAAAAAAATGCTTGATATACAGGATTGTCTAACTCCTGTATAACCTGGTGGCTGAAACAGTCTTGTAATTCTTCCAAATGACTACTAMATTTGAGAGAACCGTAAGAAATGTGCTGATTAAATCTCAAGAACCAAGATGCACATCCAGGATAACCCAATAAAGACAGCAGATATCTATCAGCAGTAAAAAAGTGCAATACCTAATAGAAGGAATTTACTGATTGAAACTGTATGACCCAAAACTGGAAACCAGCATCTGCAAGAGTTGCCACTATTTCCATCCTTCAGCTCAGCACAAGCTGCATCCCAAGTCTGCTTTTCCCATTTTTCYTCCCCAGAGCCAATTATAGGCTAATGGGCACAGGACTTACCCAGCTCAGTTCACCTGAACATCTGATGAACAAAAACATTAGGACTGTGCCATCTTTCTGAAGTTTCCTGATGGCTCAAAGCTGCATGAGAACAAATACCAGCTGACTAATSATCTCCTCTTGGTGCTTATGTGCGAGTTATCTGTTCCTTAAAAACAACAGCAACAACAACAACAACAAAAAAACTCTCAAAAATGTTTTTCTTTTGGCTGATCTACTGATCACTATACCAGTGGATCCAGTGGTCACTATTCTTCAKTTTTTTGGGCAAAAGGCTCTTTTAGACAACAAAGATTTATGCTATAAAATAATAATAATAAATGCAAAAAGGGAGAGCAAAGTCCAGGTTGTTTGAAACACAAGCCCAACAGGACACCAGGATGCTGAGCAAGCCGTTTCCCGGGCAGAGCTTAACTCTTTCATTGGAGGGAGGTCCCAGGTAAGAGCCAAGTCATGTGGATCCTTGCAACACTCCCTGGTGTTACAGGGATTTGAATAGTTTTGGGAAGCTATTTTTCACTGCATAAGATCAATGAAGTGTTCTTAATATACAAAACGAAAGAAATTAAGCAATATGTATTCTTAACTCCACCTTTCTGATTTATACCTTCGAAACCGGTAATTGCGTTTTCTTTTTCAATTAGGTAGGACAACACAGTTTCTCTCTCTGCTGTTCTYAGCTTGAAATTCCCAGTTGGGTTTTATTAAACACTAAATAGCTGCAGATTTCAAAAACAATGCAGAACTGCTCTTAAGTGGCTGATATCTTTTTGAGGCAATTCAATCATCATTTCTGATAACGAGCCTGTATTTGTTTACTGCATCCCGATTCTCTTTTCTCCAATAGTTATTAGGCAGAGCAACCCTCTTTTCCTATTCACTCCAGTTCCTTTCCCTTCTGGTATGTGTGGCACAGACTTCCTAAAACATCTCAAATGTTTTTTCACTTTCTTTTTCAGACACAGCATGAGGTTGAACCTGGGGCTCCCAGACCAGCCATTCCTCTCTTTCAGGATGATCAGCACTGCATGCAAGACCCGTGTTTTCCCAAAAAGYAAGGGACACATACGCATATGTGGCCCACCCAAGGTCAGTTTCATTGCTTACTCATCATCCATACTCATCATCCTACCGTACTCATCATCCATACAATGGAAGAAATGCACCTTCTGAAAGCCTCCTCCAACACTGCCCACTTGTCACTCCTGTTCACGCAGCCCAGCTGCTGTGGTCAACAGGCCCATGCGAGGCCGTGGCACTTCCCAAAGGCACAGCCATGTCAATAGCGGGGGACTAATTACTTGGAAGACTTAAAAAGTTTTCAGAAAAACAAAGCAAGAATGGTACATTAAAAGAGATGATTCTGGTTCTGTTTATGCATCCCTCAAAGAAAAAGGTCACTGGTGAAATATTAAAAATAGAGCAACTAAAAAAGCTTGTTTTAAAAATATTTTCCTTGAGAACACACATAGGCCTGTGAAACTCATTACCTTATGGTGGCATTCAGCCCATGAATTAAGTAGCAAACTGAAGTCCAACACTGACACACACACGACCCACGTAAGGGACAAGCACCAGCCCTCCCGAAGAGCCCCGACTCCTACTCGGGCGCTCCGCGATGCCGGCAGGCACCACCACACATGGGAATGCTCCAGCAAATCCCGACCGACGCGGGCCCTGGAGAGCAATCGTGCTCCTGCAATTAACACCGGGTTCCTGCTTTGAAGTAGAACTTGGCGCGCACAAAGACCTACCGATAAGTGTACATATGCAGCACTGAAAAAAAATAAAAGTCTCAGGTTATTATGCAAGGGATTTTTAATGGACGGCTCTGCAGATTCGCGGCCCTCTGCACGAGCCTCGCTCGAGCACAAGGTCACGGGGAGCAGCGCGTGGCCACAGCCGAGAGCGCCGCTGTCACCAGGCGCGAACAACGCGCCCGCGTCACCGCTCCAGGAAAAACACCTCTGGAAAAGCGAGTTCCAAGCATTAACGCCCAGCCTGCGTGGCTTAAAGTGCAGGAAACAAGTTCTRTTTAGCTTTATGGGGGTAACTTACATATCCAGTTCTTCCGTATGTTCAAGGGTGCTTATAGAAACTTGCCTAGGTTTCCCCTTTACAGTCACCAAGATCTGCCCTAGGATTAGGGGGTTGAAAAGCAAGTCAGTACAACGCAGGCAACACAAAACGTTTCCCAGCTGGCCGGATCTTTGATAGCGGGCACAACTCGCACCAAAAAAGCCACGCGGAGGAGCGAGCTGCACCTAAGGAGCTCCTTCCTTTCGGGAGGAGAACCTTTCGGGCCGCCGCGGTGCGGAGCTCAGCAGCCTCCATCCCTGGCCGCAACGGGGCCGTTTCCGTGGGCGAGCCCCGCGGGGAGCGCGCGCTGCGGGCCAACACCGCCACCCGCCGACGGCAGCGCCCCAAAACCACGGGAAACGCCGCAACAAGCCACGGCTATCACCACTGCCCCGGGGGATTTAACTCATCGGCGGCGGTTTTTTCCGCGGCTGGGCGACACCCACCCGTTCTGCTCCCACGCACGTCGGCGGCGCTCGCTGCGTCCCGCGGCGCGGCCGGGCACGCAGGGCAACGCCAGGCGTGAGTCATCAGAGCGGCTGCGCGCGGGGAAACGGCCGCGGAGGCTCCGCGGGAGCCGCGCGGGGGGCGCCCACGGGCCCCGGCGGGAGATGCATAAATAAATAAACGACACGGCCAAAAAAAAAAAAAAAAATGTTAGGAAATAAGTTAATAAGTTTTGCGATTAAGCGCCTCCTTCGACAGAAACGAGGAGGAACAAGTAAGCGCCGCTGGCTGCGCCTTCCAGACCACAGCGATTCCTCCAGGCGAGGACGCGCGGCCAGGCGGGCGGGGGTCGCGCCGCGGGCGCCCCGCGCTCACCTTGAAGTTGCTGGAGGCGAGCCAGGCGGCGAGCTCGTCGATGACCCTGTCGAGGCGCTGCGCGTCCTGCTCCAGGTCGCCGCTGCGCGCCGGCTCGCCCAGGTAGCCGAGCAGCTCGTGGCCCAGCTGCAGCCGCCGCGCCACGTCGCGCTGCGCCAGCTGCTCGCTGAAGTACTCCATGCCGCCCGCCGCC